ACTGTGGAGCACACCCTCCCCACATCGCTTGCTGATAATTTCAGAAACATTTGCAGCAATTGCCTGAGTATATTTCTTTTCGTTCCTTGGCTAAACTACAATTTTGCTATGTAGGAAAGTTACAAATGGAATGCAAATGTGCCCCTTCACTTTTCCATATTGTTACCACTCTGATTCTGATTTGGAAGGGAGAAACGTGGCATTTTTTGAGAACACTCAAATGTAGTGTAAATTTCAAACGAAAAGGCAGGCTCTTTCAGTTATTGAAGGTGCAGAAACACAATAGCTTATTAATCTACCCAGACTATGATATCTGGCCTCTTTCCACTCCCCTCCCATGTTATTCACCCCCAACTCTCTCTCTCTCTCTCTCTCTCTCTCTCTCTCTCTCTCTCTCTCTCTCTCTCTCTCTCTCTCTCTCTCTCTCCCTCCCTCCCTCCCTCCCTCTCCCTCTCTCTCTCTCCTCTTTCAGATATAAAGAAAAAGCAAAACTATCACTGTTTTGTGGCTACTAGGTTGTTAGGTACAAGGTTCGAATTTTGGGTAATCATTATTTATTCTGTAATGATTGAAAGGACTTTTCCATGTGGAAAGATGAAAATGAGGATTTATGGTTACTGTCTCGTCAATGATGGAGACTATGCACAAGTGAAGATGGATTTGCTCCCCAAGCCCCAACACAGCAGAACTAAGGGGGTACAGTGCAAATCAAAGGAGATGCTATTTACAAATAGATTTAGAACTGCCAGAGTTCTGGGGGAGCATTGGCATTCCCAGGATCACTGTGGCAGCATCTGAATCAGAATTCCCTCCACCAACCGAGCCACTTAGGCAGCTTAGCATTTCTGAGCCTGGGTTTGCCTGATGCAAAACGGAGATGATGCTATTTCTATGAAAGGAGGAGTCTGCGATAACTAGGAGAAGCACTTCTCAGCCTGACTTGCACTGACATGTGCTCATGTATGTCAGTGTGTCACTGAACACTCCTGGCCCCATCTGGCATGGCCCTTCTCGCTAGGCAGTGTTTTCAAGTGACAGTTTTGCGTAGCCAGACAGTATTGAGGGGGCTAGTTAGGTAAGTGACGGTAAAGCTGGAGGAGTGTTCATGAATTCCAGCTCTGGGTAAGTTCCACTTTCTTGAGTCTGGCATTTCAGAGGACAACCCAAGCCTGGAGAGTGGCAAAGAAGGGTTGTCTGACTGCTGTGTGCTACAGGCTTCTGCATGGCCCCCTTCTATGCTATCCCTCATCAATACAAACTTCCCGAGCCCCTTGGAGTTGCCTGAATGGCTAATATACTCTATTAATTCACATTAAAATGTTAATGAGTGGTAATGACTTTTAATTTGCTGACACTTTCATATAAGTCCTGCATTTTAGCTCAAGCATCCAATGACTTGGACTAAAAAAAAATGATTTCTGTAGGACACCCCAGTTTCCTGAGAAATCCAATGCAGGAAAGGGGGTGTGCTTAAAAGAGATGCAAGGAAGGAAGGAATGAGGGAGGGAGGGAGGGAGGGAGGGAGGGAGGGAGGGAGGGAGGGAGGGAGGGAGGGAGGGAGGGATCAGTATGTCAGACCAGGCGTGTGCCTGTGTAGCTGTGCTGGCTAGTTGGCACAAACTAGAGTCAGCTGAAAGGCAGGAGCCTCAATTGAGAAAATGCCTCTATAAGATCCAGGTGTAGGTTTTCTTAATTAGTGCTCAATGGGGGAGGCCCAGCCCAATTGGATGGGGCCATCCCTGGGCTGGTGGTCCTGGGTTATAAGAAGACAAACAGAGCAAGTCTTGATGAATAAGTCAGCAAGTATGGCTCCTCCATGGCCTCTGTATGAGCTCCAGTCTTTAGGTTCCTGCCCTGTTTTAAGTTCCTGTCCTGACATCCTTCAATGATAGACTACAATGTGGAAATATAAACAAATAAACCCTTTTTTCTTCCCAGCTTAATCTTGGTCATGGTGTTTCATCGCAGCAATAGAAACCTTAACTAAGACAGCAGCTGTTGACACTTGCTGTCAATCTGATCCTTCATTCTCATTCCAAATTCCAGGAATGAACTCAGGTTGCAGAGACAACAAGAACAGCAGGTGTGCACAGGTCACTGTTAAGGACATTGGCCCAAGAAGAGTGCCTAAGTGCCTTATATGGGGAGTGCTCACAAGGGTCCTTTACTGCACTCCAAGTCAAATCCCACCTCAGTGACTCTGGAAGGAGAGTCTCTACAATGTTAAGTTCTTTTTTTTCCCTGCTAGATATGCCCTGGAAGCCTTCTCCGAGGGCCTGGGCACATGAATTTCTCTATAAGGAATGGTATTTGGTGCAAGTTTCCATGACTAGCTGGCTACTGGGAATGGTTCCTTTCTAGTGGACACAAAGGAGGAATACTGATGAGCCTGGAAAGAGAACATGAGTCACCACACAGAAAACACGAAGTCTCCACTATAGGAGTATTTGTAGCAGTGAGGTTTCCTGACCTGATGAACTGAGCATCGTGGCACTACTTCATGATGTTCTGTCACAATAAGGACTATCACTGGGGACTGAGAAGACGGCTCAGCAGTTAAGACATTCACTGTGCAAGCATGAGGACTGGAGGTGGGACCCTCAGAAACCCACATAAATGCCAGTGAGTATGAGAGCCCATCTAGGACTCCAGCCGGGGGCGGCAGAGTCAGGATTCTCAGGGCAAGCTGGTTATCAAGGCTCGCTATATTGGTGAGCTTGGCGTTTGATGGAGAGACCCTGCCTCGTTGTATAAAATGGAATATTGATCAAAGGTGATTCCCACCATCAACCTCAGACCTCCACATACATGCGCATATACATGCATGTGCTTTCACACACAAATTCAGACCAGAGAGAGAGAGAGAGAGAGAGAGAGAGAGAGAGAGAGAGAGAGAGAGAGAGAGAGAGAGAGAGAGAGAGAGAGCTATTGCTAGAGGGAAGGCACAGAGCAGGGGAGACAGAGGCCAATCTGGTTTCTTCCTGCTCTTTGGAGTGATCTTATTAATCAGTTACAAGCAGGAGACCACAGCTGCACTGTAGCTCATATCCTCTGCCATAATCAGACACTTGCACATCTGTCTTCCTTCTGAACAGAGGGCTTCTAGAGGGCAGGAAATGACATGACTCCTTTTTTTCTAGTCTCCAGCACAGAAACTGGCACAGGATAGCTGCTCAATAAATACTGCTGAGTGGATGAAGAGAATGGAGATAAATAAGATATTTCCAAGAATAACACAGACCTCCTGAATGACCCATCAAATCTGGAAAAGAGAAAGGCGCTTAGAAAATTCGACCACATAAATGGTCACGCTGATAGAAAAGGTAGGTGTGATTGTGTGTGTATGTGGTATTGCCCATGTTCACATGGGGTGTATACAACTTACTGTAAGTGCACACACACAAGCGTGTATTTGTGTATGGAGTCCAGAGGCCAATGCTGGCAGTCTTCCCCCGGAATGCTCTACCTTAATTTTCAAGACAGTCTCTCACCGACCCTGGAGCTTGCCAATTCAGCTTTACTGGCTGAGCAACAAACCCCAGGCACCTGCCTGATTCTGCCCTTACCCCTCAGCACTGGAGTTAGAGATGCACTTCACTCTTACAGCTGTGAACTTGGGTGCTAGGAATCCAAAGCCCATTGCAGACTGAGTCAACTCCCCTGCTACGAGATACCCTCTTCTAATGTCTTGTCTCTACTTGTAAAGAACAAAAACAAACAAACAAACAAAAAAACCCCAAAACCACGGTGATCTCAACATGGTACTCAGCTTCAGAAAGTCACAGCTGAGAAAAACAGTGTGCTCCTCTTAGGGGCTCATCGTCAAGGGCACAGACGTGCATGCTTATGGTGGAAAAGCAATGAAGTACTGTGGAAGGGGAACAACCCTCCTGGGGGGGGAGGACAATTGCTGCTGGAAAGTTCTATCCAGGGCTCGCTCTCTCTCTCTCTCTCTCTCTCTCTCTCTCTCTCTCTCTCTCTCTCTCTCTCTCTCTCTCTCTCTCTCTCTCTCTCTCTCTCTCTCTCTCTGTGTGTGTTGTAATCTAGTTCTAGTAAAACTTAGTGAATGGGTCTTTCTCACTTAATGCAACCGTGCAAAATGGAACATGAGCTAACGTGTCTGAAGCAGGGAAACAGTCCGGTACCGGGTGGGGGAAGGAGCATCTTCCTTTGTGGGAACCATATTTTTCTAGAAGGCCTTTTGATCGTGATAGGACTCCAGGGGGTTATTGATTAGACCAGAAAAGAGCAAGAGCTGGGGAGATGAAGCTCATACAGCCTCAGCCACAGTGGGGTAGTATGCCTGCTGTTGGAGGTAGAACAGGTAGTAGCACACAGTAGCACACGGGGCATCCGAAGCTTCAAGCCAAGACCTCAGACAACTCAGGGACCTCTAGACTCCCAGGCCTGGGTCTATAAATGGACGGAGGAGGAGGTGTTTTGCAGGCCGAGTACCTTGCCCATAAATTGCCGTGAGCATCGCTGCTGAAGTTGGCCTGTTTTAGCCATTCATTTCTTCTCCCCTCCTCTCTTCCGCTTCCCCTCCCAATTCGTCAACTGCTCAAACAGCCCAGAGGAAACCGCCTCCTCGCCGCCGCGCGCTGGAGACCGTCCCTAGGTGTTAGTCTTTGTGTGGGGAAAACTTTGAGAGGAAGCGAGGGCGCTGGACAAAGAGAGGGCGACGGAGGGCGTCCGCCAGCCAGCCCCGGAGCTCCGAGTTGCCCCCTGGCTCAGTTCAGTCTCCGGATCGCTTTCGATAGCCCAAGCCCAACCTGCCTAGGCCGGGAGTGGCAGGCTCCCTGAGCCCTCCCGGGTGGGAGCCGCAAAGGCAGCTGGCTGGTCGCTGGAGTTAGTGGGAGGAGGCCAGGCGAGGCGCGGAGCAAAGCTGTCAAACTGCGCCGGGAGCCCGGTGCGGGGCGGGGGGGAAGGGAGGGGAGAAAGGAGGAAGGAGGAGAGGGGAGGGGCGGGCAGGAGCGGGGAGAGAGAGCGAGCGGGCTCGCCGCGCCTGAGCAACCCCTGTCTGTCGCTGCCACTGTCGCCTCGGCCGCCGCCGGCCCGGACTCGCCCAGAGCGCAGGGTGTGTGCCCCGCTGCGCGTGGAGCGCGGAGGCTCCTCCAGCCCCAGCTCCTCGCCCCGGCCCGCGCGCGGGTCCCGGAGGGCGCCGACCCCACCATGCAGCTGCAGTTCCGGAGCTGGATGCTGGCCGCGCTCACGCTGCTTGTGGTCTTCCTCATCTTCGCAGACATCTCGGAGATCGAAGAAGAAATCGGGTAAATAGGCGCCCCGGGCCCGGGCCCCGAGCCCCGGAGGGATCTCTTTCTCCCCGCGGGCTCCGCGCTCCCCATTCGCTTTGTGTGCGCCGCGCCCCCCTGTCGCTCCGCTGGAGGGAAGGTGCTGGCGGTTTGGACTGGGGGGTGGCAGTGTCAGGGGCCCGGGACGCTTTGGGGAGTGGATGATGGGGGCGCGGCTGCCGAGGGGTGTCCCCGGGCGGGGTGCACGGGCCGCTATAGCCGCGCGGCGTGGGGAAAGCGGACTCGCCCACCCTGTCCCCTGTCCCCCTGGTCCCTTCCTTTGGCGTACGCGCGCGCGGTGTCGCCGGGGTCGAGGGAGGGCGCCGGGGAGTGTCTCGGGCGGGTAAAAGGACAGAGAGTGGAGGGAGGCAGGAGTTTCTTTGTCTCCGGCTCGGTCGCTTTCTCGCCTTGGCAAAGTGGGCAGGGGGCGCGCGGGGATCTCTGAGCTGGGGGAGGGGAATCCCCTGGCGGGAGCTGAGCGAGGAACACTCGGCACCGACTCCAGGAAAGGGGAATGTACTCTACACACAGCGGTACGCACCCACGCCTGCAGCGGGCCAGCCCAGGATCCCGGCGTGGCGGGTGGCATTGCTCAAGGTGTGGCGCGCGGGGCTGTAGACCGGGGCTCTCCGCTGGCTTTGAATGTTCAGCCAACCCTGCGACGCCCCAGGCGACCCTGGGTTGCTGTGCGCTCACACAGGCGCAGAGAGCTGGAGACCTCGCCGGAAAGTCTCCAACGCCGCCCAGTGGGTTTCGGGGTCCCCAGGAGCGCGCGATCTCAGCCGGTCCCCACCTCTTCAGAGGTGGGCGGGACCGCAACCTCGAGCTGCTCCTGGTTGAGGACTTCTTGGAATGTGCTCTCTGAAGGAGCCGGGCGCACCATCTGGGTGCCCCCTGGGCTGAGGCTGGCGCCCTGCCCTACAGACTTCACGCGGAGCCCGACCCCTGTCCGGAGCCTCCAAAGCATGGTGGACCTGTAGGCAACAGGGTTCTGAGGCGGCCTCAGGAAAAGGTTGAGGTCTCAGAGAGAGCAGGGGGTGAATTCGATCCTCTATGGGATTTGTGAGGAACCAAGCAGACAAGCGTCCGGGAGTGCTGCCTGCGCTCCTCCTTTGTCCAACTTCATTTTCCACAAGAACAGAGGATGCGCGGTGCTGTTGGGTCCCTCCAAAACGCAGAGCATCCAGAATCCAAGATGCTGAAGCCCTAGAGACCCTAACCTGCAGACAGGTGTCTCTTCCTGTTCTTTGCTTTCGCTCGGACACTGTCCCTCTCTGTAACCCACAATTTATTCTGTGGACCCCATTATGCTTCAAGAGCCCCTCTATGTCATTCTTCTCATCCTGTTTCCCCAAGAACTCCGAAAACTTTCACAAATGTTCAGTTAATACACTACACGCCGCCAGCTCCTACACACAGGCAGAAACAGGCTACTCTCCCATAGCTGTTCTCCTGGTATGTGGTCAGAGAACCACCAGTAGCAACAGAAATTGGTGAAATCACACTCTGGGGTGAATGGAAGATGGACCATCTACCCTCCCGGGTTTCTGCCTGGCCCGGACCACTGGGTGACCTTTGACAATGAGAAAAGGAAGGACCCCCCCCCAGATGCCTTCTTGTTCTGTTATAAAAACATGTGCTGCGACTTCTGTGAGAAAGCATCTCTGCTCATCAATTTGCTGAACTTTTCACTGAGTGTTTTCTATTTGCCAAGGACTTTCAATTTTTAAAATGTAATGAGAAGATCAGTTACACATAGTGTCTCCCTTTCCTGCCAAAGGCATTTTGAAGCCTCCACTTTCCACAGTCAAATTCTTCCAGCAGGCAATCAGGAGTTTCCAGAGGGGCATTTACATATAGAGTGTGTGTTGAAAGCCCGGTCTCGGTGCTGTGAGCATATCCTCTGTGACATGTTTCACTTGGGGATCCCTACTTCCTTTTCTTTCCTGGGCTGATCTTAGAGAGGAGAACTGTCGCCTAGCCCACACAAACATCCTCTGTAGCACCTTCCCTGAGGACTCTGGTGTTTGGGCTGATGTTGAGTTTGGTCCATCATCACCACTTTCTCCTAGTTTGATGTGGTCACCTTGGGTCTGCACTATCTGTGCCACATGATTGGTGTCAATAGCCTGGTTCCATCTGCAGTCAGCCCCATCTACGTATAATCTGGGAAGGGGGAGGCTCATTGCTTTCGCCGTGCATGGAGAAGGAAAGAACAATGTGGGAATCTCACTTGCCCATCTTTCAGCTAAGGAGAGTGAGGTCTTAGCACAGTCACTAATCCTGGGAACCACCTCAGATGTGACTAGCAAGGGTTTGGTGTGGGTAAATGACCTGCCACAGAGGCTGGGGCGCGGTGTCAAGAGGACCCTGTCTCCCTTGCCCTCTGCTTTTCAGGATGGCCTGGGATGCTATTCAGGACCACAGTGCTTTTGTATCAGCCCTTTGCGACCTGGGCCAGAAAGGATAACACATTACCCCAAGAGAGAGCCATGGTCCTGTCAAAAGAAAGATGGAGCAGGTGGGGGCTGATTCTGGACGGCAGTAAACGGTGGGATGCTGAGATCTAGTGGTCAGGCAAGCAAGATAAAGAATCACTTTAGGGATAGGTTTTCCAAGGATTAAGGACAGTGAAAGAAGCAAGCAAACCACACACACACACACACACACACACACACACACACACAGTCTAGAGAGCCATTTTTCCGAAGCCTTCAGTCCTTTCTCAGAAAATGAGATTCTAGGTTGGTGTCCTCCATGGTCCTGACCAGCCCCAAGCATTATACATGCTCTGGCCAGGGGTAAAGCTCTCTTTTAGAGGCTTTGTCTGGGAGACATCTCTTTTTCTGAGTGATTCTCTTCAGAGTTCCCTCCCTGACGCTCTTGCTCTCACTCAGCGGGTACTGCACAAGAAAGGAAAACAGGTAAGAAGCCAAAGTCTCAACAAAGCACCCAAGGAGGCCTGCCTGAGAGCAAGGGGCTCTTAAATTCTGAGTCAGCAAGTGCATGAGCTGGGGTGACACAGCCTCGTACCCACCCCCTAGGCACCTCATCAGCTCTAACATCAGTTGTCCCACGTTGTATCAGGCATGTTCCATCTCTAGAGATTGTGACATGGCATTATCATCCGCAAAGTCCACAATGTGTTATCTAGTTACCAAGAGAAAATCGCAAAATAAAAACCTACCAGTATTTTAAATAAGTTTACAGCTTCGTGTTGGAGCACAGTCACAACCTCTTTGGTGTGCACGGCACCTGTGGGCTGCAGCTTTGACACACCTGCTAGGTAAACGGAGTCATTCTGCTTATCACCTGCTTGAGCCTTGGGTGTAACGCCTAGGAAGCGGTGTGGACCTTGGTGGCCACGTGTATCACGTTGCCTTCACAGTTGACCAACAGAAGTCATTCAGAAGTATGAATTCCCGCAGTCCGGCACAGGTGGGCACACAACATCCTAGGGCAAGGTGGTACTCGGAGGTCCTCAGGCCGCAAAGGGCTCCTCCTGCAGAAACAGTTCCCTGGGTTACAAGTTATGTCTAGTTTGGCGTAATGTCAGATATCTAAGCCTCACACCTTTGCCATGCAATACTCTAGTCACCAGATGGTCATCATAATCATAAGAGCACTATAGAACTCTGTTTAGAAGATAAATGAGTAGCTGGTGATCCCAGCAATCCCATTTGTGGCACTGGGGGGGATGATAATGATGGTTAGCATGAACAGAGTACTTGTTGTGAGCTGAGAGCTATTCTTAGTTGTCCAAGACATTAACATATTCTATTCTTGTCCTACCCCAACGGCAAGCAACCAGTGGCACTAAGAACAGCTGCTCATTGAGCTCTGTGTGCTAGGCCCATGGAGACCACCTTGAAACATCAGTTCATTGGCTCTACCCATCTCCAGTGGGGACTGCTGCTATCCCTAGTTTACCAGGAAGGAAACTGAAGCTGTGAGTTAATTTGCTGGCAATGAAATACTTAGTACTTGACCCTATGTCTACGTAGGTCAGAGGTCAGGCAGACTGTGGGCTAAATCTTCTGGAGGAGATAGCTCTCTCGTCGTCTTGCAAACTAAACTCCAAGGGCAACTGAATCAGACTTCTGGTGATTGCATCCAGGCATCCAGAGCAAGGGTGATTGCGAAGATATTTAGCAACCCATCCATCTCTGGCACTGATGTGTTAGAATGGACATCCGAGTGGTCAGAATTGATGCCGTCTAGTGCATCATGCCAGGGTCCTAGTACCATATTGAAGATCAAGCCATGTCTGGGAAAGGAACAGAGGAGGAGCGGTTATCTCTGGTCATCACTGCAACGGGGTCTGTGAGCAGGCAGTGACTCCTGCCATCCAGGGAAGGCAGGGTGAGATGCACCTCTTAGAGGAGGAGTCTGGGTGGGTGTGGAAGAACACGGCCTTGGGAGCTGCACCCTTCACCCTGTGAGAAGAGTCTGCGTTTATTCAAGATGGTCCTTTTTTGTTGGGGGAGGGGCTCATTTTTTTCTCTTCCATCCTAGTATAGTTCGCCCAAGCATACACACAATTAAAAGAGAAAATAGAAGAGAAAGACATTCTGATTTTAACTCCCTTGCTCTGAGTCCTTGATGCCAACTGTTCTAGCATCAAATTTAAATTGTAAATAGATATCCGTCTTGGAAACCAATTCAACGCGCAAGGCCTCTTTCCCCTTGTAGTGTAGAGTTGCTAGGTTTTAAAACTGTTTAGATTTTACAAACTGGGAATGGTGAAAAGTGAACATTATAGATACTTGACACAAAGAGTGGGATTCTAGAGAGGTTCTCTCTTCTTCTTTAAGTAGGGAATGCACAGAAATGACTATAACCTTTCCATGGACTCTCTTCCATCCTTCCAAGGCCCTACCTGTTCCGTTCTATATTGCTTACAAGTTTCTACGTTGTTCCATGATTGCCCATTTCTATATGTCTCTGGGACTTCTCATACATACTACCTGCTCTCCCTG